TCCGACTTCAGCCAGGTCACGATCTCGCGGTCCGTGAGTTCGAGCCCCGCGTCGGGCTCTGGGCTGATGGCTCGGAGCCTGGAGCCTGTTTCCGATTCTGTGTCTCCCTCTCTCTCTGCCCCTCCCCCATTCATGCTCTGTCTCTCTCTGTCCCAAAATAAATAAACGTTGAAAAAAAAAAAAAAAAAAATTAAAAAAAAAAAAAAAATGTCCTGCACTTTTGTTTTTTGGGAGTTTTTTGATTACTGATTCAATTTCTTTGCAGATTATCAGTCTGTTCACATATTCTGTTTCTTCCTGTTTCAGTTTTTGTAATTTATATGTTTCTGGAAATTTATCCATTTCTTCTAGGTTGTCACAATTTGTTTGCCTATAGTTTTCCATAAGATTCTCTTATATTTTATGTTTGTATTTCTGTGGTGTTGGTTGTTATTTCTCCTCTCTCATTTGTGTTTCTATTTATTTGGGCCCTTTCCCTTTTTTTCTTGTTGAGTCTGGCTAGAGGTTTATCAATTTCAATTATCAATTTTTTTCAAAGAACCAGCTCCTGGTTTAATTGATCTATTGTTTATTTTTTGTTTTTTGTTTTTTGGGTTTTTTTAGTTTCTATATCATTTATTTCTGCTCTAATCTTTATTATTTCCTTCCTTCTGCTGATTTTAGGTTTTATTTGTTCTTTTCCTAGGTCCTTTAGATGTAAGGTTAGGTTGTGTATTTGAAATTTTTCTTCCTTCTTGAGATAGGCCTGTATTGCTATAAACTTCCCTGTTAGAACTGCCTTATTGCATCCCAGAAGTTTTGGATTGTTGCGTGTTAATTTTCATTTGTTTCCATGTACTGTTTAAATTTATTCTTTTATTTACTGGTTGACCCATTTATTGTTTAGTAGCATATTGTTTAACCTCCATGTATTCGTGGTCTTTCCAGATTTTTTCTTGTGCTTGACTTCTGGTTTCATAGTGTTGTGTTCAGAAAAGGTACATGGTGTGATTTCTATCTTTTTGAATTTGTTAAGCTTTGTTTTGTGGCCTAATTGTGATCTATTTTAAAAGAATATTCCATGTGTACCTGAAAAGAATGTGCATTCTGCTGTTTTAGGATGGAATGTCCTGAATATATCTGTTAAATCCATCTGGTCCAGTGTGTCATTCAAAGCCATTGTTTTCTTGTTGATTTTCTGTTTAGATAATCTGTCCATTGATATAGGTGGGATGTTAAAGTCCCCGACTATTATTGTATTATCATCAGTTCCTTTATATTTCTTATTGTTTTATATTTCTTATTGTTTATATTTCTTACTGCTTATATTTCTTATATTTCTTATTAATATTCTTAATATTCTTATTGTTTCTTATTGTTTATATATTCTTATTGTTTTACCCAAGTACTTGGGTGCTTTCATATTGGGGCCATAAATATTTACAATCATTCTATCTTCTTGATGGATTGTCCCTTTTATTATCTAGTGTCCTTCTTGGCCTTTTGTCACAGTTTTTGTTTTAAAGTATATTTTGTGTGTTGTAAGTATTGCTACCCAGCAGTCTTTTGACATCTATTTGCATGATGAATGTTTCTCCATCCCCTCGCTCTCAATCTTAGGTCTAAAATGAGTCTCTCGTTGTTGTTGTTTATTTTAGAGAGCGCAAGCAGGGTAGGGACAAAGGGTGAGAGAGAGAATCTCAAGCAGGCTCTCCACTCAGCATGGAGCCTGATGGTGAGGCTCAATCCCGTGACTTTGGGATCATGACTTGAAACAAAATCAGGAGTTGGACACTCAACTGACTGAGCCACCCAGGCGCTCTGGGTCTTGTTTTTTATCCATTCTCTCACCCTGTGTCTTTTGATTGGAGTGTTTAGTCCATTTACAAATGGAGTGTTTAGTCCACTTACATTCAAAGTAATTATTGATAGGTATATATTTATTGCCATTTTATTATTTGTTTTGTGGTTGTTTCTGGAGATTTTCCCTGATCTTTTCTTGTCTTTCTCTCTTTCATGGTTTACTGGTTTCCTTTAGTGATATATTTGGATTTATTTGTCTTTATTCTTTGCTTATTTATTAGTGGTTTTGGATTTGTGGTTACCATTAGGTTTTTATAGAACATCTTCTGTATGCAGCAGTCTGTATTAACCTGATGGTCATTTGAGTTTGAACCCATTCTTTATTTTTCTCCTCTCCACGTTTTAGGTATATATCTTTACATCTTTTTATTTTGTGAATTCTTTGAGTTTTTATAGAAATACTCATTTTTACTGCTTTTGTGTTTCCTACCTTCATACTGTCATTTTTGGTCTTTCCACTTAGGACAGTCCTCTTCAATATCTCTTGCAGAGCCGGTTTAGTGGTCATAGAGTCCTTTAGTTTTTGTTTGTCTGGGACACTTTTTATTTCTCCTTCTATTCTGAATGATAGCTTTGCTGGATAGAGTATTCTTGGCTGCGTATTTTTCCCATTCAGCACTTTCAGTATGTCATTCTACTCCCTTCTGGCTTGCACAGTTTCTTTTGAAAAATCTCTTGCTAGCCTCATGGGTTTTCCCTTGTAAGTTAATGACTTCTTTTGCCTTGCTGCCTTTAATGTTTTTTCTTTATCACTATATTTTGCCATGTTAATAACAGCATGTTTTGATGTGGATCTGCTTTTGTTGATTTTCATGGGGGTTCTCTGCTTCCTGGATCTGGATATTCACTTTCTTCCTCAGAGTAGGGAAGCTTTCAGCTAATATTTCTTCAAATAAATTATCTGCCCCTTTTTCTCTTTCTTCTTCTGGGACTCCTGTAATACGAATGTTACTGCATTTGATGGAGTCACTGAGTTCCCTAAGTTTATTCTCGTTTTGCATAATTCTTTTTTCTCTCTTTTGTTCAGCTTGATTACTTTCCATTACTCTGTTTTCCAGGTCATTAATTTGTTCCTCTGCTTCTTCCACCCTGCCACTGTTCATTCCATTGGGTGTGTTTTTCATTTCATTTATTGAGCCCTTTATCTCTGCTGTGTTATTCCTTATCTGCATTAATGGCCTCACTGATGATGTCCTTCATTTTTTCCTCAAGTCCAGTGGGTATCTGTATGATCATTGCTCTAAATTCTCCATCAGGCATATACTTCTATGTATTTCACTTAGGTCTCTGATCGTGGCCTTGTAGTGTTCTTCATTTGGGACAAATTCCTCTGTCTTCTCATTTTGTCTAAGTCTCTGTGTATTAGGAAAGTCAACTATATTTCCTGTTCTTGAGCATAATGGCTTTATGAAGAACAAGTCCCATAGTACTGCGCTGTGCAGTGTTCCCTGGCCCCCAGGGCCTGGCACTTCCAGGAGTATCTCCGTTGTGTGCTGTGTATGCTCTACTAATGTGTCCTGGTCTTTTTATCCTTCACGCCAGTTGTTTGCAGAGGTTTTTTTTTTTTTTTTTTTTTTTTTTTTTTTTTTGCCTGTTGTGAGCAGGGTTTGTTCCCTAACCTGAATGTGGGACATTTTACCTAGGTGTGCTGTGGTCTGCTTGTGAAATGGGACCTCTTGCCACTGCCCCTGGAACCAAGGCCCTGTAAAACACCGGCTAGGGAGATGAATTGTGGCAGGGGGTTGGGCTGGTCTTCTGCTAAAGGGGGCCCATCTCGCTGGGACTAAGGCAAGCATGACTGGGAAGGGCGGTTCCACTAGAGTATAGGCAGGGCAAGGCTTGGTGTAAGAAGTTAGGTAGTGAGTGTTGGAGTGCATTGGTTCCTGCACATGGCTCTATGTTTATGCTGAGGGGTGGGGGAAGGAAATGGTGCCAGCCAGTTCCCTTGTTCCCTTAGGGGTCTGTTTGTGAACATAGTCTCTCTGGGACACATTTAACCTCCCCGCTGTGTGGTCCAGGCAATTTTCAGATGACTGTTTCCACACTGTATGTCTGCAGGCTGTTTGCCCTGCCTTTTCTCCAATAGCAGGTTCAGTGCCCTCTGAGCTCTCCCAGAGCCAAGCATGCTGACCTTTAAAACTCCAGGCTTTAAGCCCCACTGGTTGCAGGAACTCATAAAATTCAGGCCTTCTCTATTTCCAAGCCAATGGCTATGGGAATTTGTTCTCCCTGTGCATTCCCCTATGTGTTGGTCTGTCTCTTGCCCTTTTCTGCGACTGCAGCTTTCTCCCCACCAGAGTGGCCACTCTTGGTTTCTGTCCCGAACCATGTCTCTGCCTTTCTTACCTTCACTGTGACCTTTTCTCTACTTTTAAGTTGTGGAGTTTGTTTTGCCAGTCTTCAGATCAATTTCTGGGGTATTTAGGATGATTTGATAGTTACTTAGTTGTATTCATGGGACAAGGCAAGCCTAGGGGCCTATCTCCCCACCAGCATCATTCCTCTCGGCATTTCAAGTTTTTCATCTGTATTCTAATTTCTGTTCATGCTTCTGATGGCTATTATATCACCATAATGTTTAAATTAATATTTAGCTCTTTTTTTTTTTTAAATTTTTTTAATGTTTTTATTTATCTGAGAGACAGAGCATGAGCAGGGGAGGGGCAGAGAGAGAGGGAGACACAGAATCCGAAGCAGGCTCCAGGCTCTGAGCTGGCAGCACAGAGCCCAACGCGGGGCTCGAACTCATGGACCGTTGAGATCATGACCCGAGCTGAAGTTGGACTATTAACCGACTGAGCCACCCAGGCGCCCCAATATTTAGCTCTTTTGATAATAACTTCCTTCAGTTTTGTGTTATAACAGGAAAACTTTCACTGGGAGTCAGGGAGATGCAAATGTTTGCTGCTAAGTGGACCAGTTTTGTCCAACTGTAAATATCCTATGATTATCATCAAAGTTGACCATAACACCTGCTTTGTTAGGAGAGGATTCTCTTCACCCATTTTTTTCACATTTCAAAAGTATGTGTAGTTTGTATTCCTGAAATAATACTTAAGGATTTTCTTAAGTATTTTTTTTTTGTGATTTAGTATTTTTAATTCCGAACTGTAAGTTTCATTTAATTGCCTAACTAGGAATTTCCCTTGTTTCCCTAGCCATATCCTGCAAACGAGAATTCCAAACTTGCTTCTGAGAAGGTGGATGACTATGAACATGCAGCAGATTACATGAAAAACAGTCAAGTAAGGTTACCTTTGGTAAGTTTTCATTTGTAGCATGTTTTATAGAAAATGAAAAAAAAAAGCATATAGTATATGGAGACTTACAAAATTATTTCACTGGTTTACAAATCAGATACATGTTAGTCTGTTTCCCCTTTTTATAGGCATAGAATATAAAATAAAATGTATTTCAGTACTGAGAACTGAGTCCTATTTCTGGGGCAGTAAGGATGGGGAGAAAGTTGTAAGCTTGGTTGGAGAGTTCCTTACTGTATCATTATTTCTTAACCTGGGCACTGCTGACTCACTGTGTTCCCGAGGTAAAATTCAGGGGCTCATGAACATTGATGGAGAAAAATTACATCTCCATTTTCAATGACTTCTGCATGCAAGCTCACATTTCTTTAATTAAGAATGTAACAGTACCACAGTGGTATTAGATATAGCTGTGATTGTCATCAATAGAAATTACAGATATTTTCATAACACGTTTCTGCTGAAATCTTAGACTATTGTTTACATTTATCACTTCTTCAAAATCACATTAATTACTGGAATGGCTACTCTATCTTGTTAGTCTAAGGACATGGACAAAGTAGCACATATATTACTATATCAATGTGTTTTTTAGTATTTTAGTAACTAAAATATAATTTATTTCTTTTGTATGATATGTATGTTGTGATTCCTTTGTAAAAACACAAAAATCTTATTTCTTCCTACAATGCTATTGGATGTTCAAGAGAGGCTTTTTAATGTTTTCATTTTCCACATTAAAAATATAAAATTGATGCTTTTTCCAATTATACACACACACGAATACCCTCTTTACACAGATTCACCCTTTGGTTGAGAATCAGTAGTTTAGAGAATTAGGCAGGAGAGCACAATTGAGAGGATAACATTAAAGTCTCATTGACTTTTTTGATATATTTAGATCACAGTAATATTAACAGTAAATTATGTATACAGTTGACCCTTGAACAATGTGAGGGTTGGGTTGCTGACTCCCCATGCAGTCAGAAGTAAGCCTATAACTTTTGATTCCCCAAAATGTAACTAACAATAGCCCAACTGTTGACCAGAAGCCTTACCAGTAACATGATCAGTTAATACGTATTTTGTATATGTATTATATACTATATTCTTATAGTAATGTAAGCTAGAGAAAAAATGTTATTTAAAAATCATAAGGAAAACATGTTTACAGTATGGCATTTATTGAAAAAATCCACATATAAGTATATCTGCACAGTTCAAGCTTGTGTCCTTCAAGGGTCAACTTATATTTATAGCGAACTAGGGTTGTTTGGGCACTTCTGTCCATTGTTGAAAAATATGTGTTTATGTACTTCCATATTCAATCTAAAATGTTCTTTTTTTTTTTTTTTTTTTTTTTTTTTTAATTATAGGGAACCTTAAGTAAGTCAGAGTGGGAAGCCACAAGTGAGTATATCATCAGTGTAGATTTACAAAGATTGTTTCAGAGTGATTGTTATAATTTGAAAACTTTGGAATTTTTTGATATATGTTAGTATGTGTGTGTGTTTTATGTTTACACAGAATCCCTATATGTGTCTGACTCACTTTTTCTTGCACAGCTATTTAGTGCCAAGAGAAAATATATGCAGGGCATTCCTTAACATAAACTTTCATGAGCATTATTTTTTTTTTTTAAGTTTATTTTATTTATTATGAGAGAGACAGCATGAGTGAGGAAGGGGCAGAGAAAGAGGAGAGAGAGAATCCCAATCAGGCTGTGTGCTGAAAGCCTGGTGCAGGGCTCCAACCTGCAAAGCCATGAGATCATGACCTGAACTAAAACCAAGAGTCAGAGCTTAACCGACTGACCACCCAGGCACCCTTAACATTCTTAAACATTTTCATTACCTAATTGTTACTACATAGGCATCTGTATTTGCTGTTTTTACCTCAGATTTCTTTGGAAATTTTGGCTTATGGAACACTTCCATGTATTTTGTTTCTAGCCACTCTGATGTTGACTACAAAGGCATAATTAATAAGTACTAGAACATTTAGTGAAGCAGCAATGAGCAGGATATTTTAGAGGGATGTGTGATTGGGAAGGGCCTGGTACAAAGACGTTCTGAAGTGAGATACCTGTCTTTGGAAGAGAAGTCAGAGGCCTGGCAAATCTGTGAAGTCCGTGGTTCTTCAGCAAATGGATGCTGAGAAAGCATCACCCAGGGCCTCTGTGTTAAGATGATAATACCCTAATGTGGCTGCCCTGAGGACATAAAAGGTAGTTCCCACTGTTCATTTAAGTATTTGTTGATTATGTTGAAGGCATAAGTGGTAATCGGAGACAATCTATTTGATAAATGTTGAGTATTAACTTACATAAAGTTCTGTGAAAGGGCTTTGGGGGATAAACAAAGTAAACAGTTGCAGTCTCTACCTCCCAGATGTTTACAATCTAATGGAAGAAACAGACACAAATAAATGCAGTGCTAGGCAAACTGTTTTAAGTGCTGAAGTTTCTATAATAGGGAAAATAGCTGTAGGAGAGCCTAAGGAAAAGTAGTAAAATTTGGGAAGTAATAATAGTTGGTATAATTGAATATTTAACATGTGCTCAAGCATGACTGGAGCCTTTTCATATGTTGTAACTTATTTAATCCTCACAACTTTAAGGGTAAACTAGTCTCACTAATATCTCCTTTTCACAGATAAGAAAGCACTTAAATAACTTACCTGAGGTCACAGAGCTAACCCAACTGATTCATACTTGTACCCATGGCCTCATGGAAGCCTGTGTGAAGGGATTTTTCTTAGGACTTGCTAAATTGGAGAGAGAGGAAAAGGAAAAAATACAAATAGAGCCAACATGTTGAGCCTGTTTGTCCCAGAATATTGGTGCCCTTAGTGGAAATGGGATTAGAGGACCATCAGACTGAGAAATGTGTGCCTAAACCTGTACATTTCATTACTTTTCCCAAAGTGGAGACTTAGGTATCTTAGACATCCTGCCAGTCCTAAAGTATGATGTAAGGAAAACTTTGGTCAAATGTCGTGATGGTGGTACTAGGTATAGTTTAGAAATGTGTTTCTGTATCTCAATGTGGACTTTAGTGATAGCATGCAGATGAAGAATTAGATGCCCCCAGACAGTGGAGGGAGAGATAGGTTAAGAGATGTGAAAAGCAGTAGGAAAGGAGCAGTGGCCACATTGCAGCCAAACTCTAGCATGTCAGGATCAGTGTGGTCTTTCATGAATTACACTATTCTAGACTGGAGGATTTGTGGGCTGGAGTCACAGTCTGATAAGTAGAAGCTGTACTTCAAACTCCTACTCATCTAATTAAACTATTACCAGAACCTGTTGCTCCTCTAGAAGATTCTTTAAATGTGAAAATAAAGTAGAGAATTGTTGCTTAATTGCTTTTATACGTGGTTCAGGATTTATTTCTTTAAATTCCAAGTGAAATGCCTACACAGAAGGCATTTTAGAGAGGAAAGAAAGTTATTAATTGTCGATCTGAAGTCAGACACTGCATCTGAGTGATTTTAAATGACCTTAGATTTAGGGAAGGTCAGGATTGCTGGATTGTCTGCTGTAGGTACCAGTGTGTTTGGGGTGGGTAGGACTGGAGACAGATCACTTGGAGTGTGGGACAAGCTAAATAACACTGCCTGCTCCTAAGTCCTGTGATGTACTTACAGATATCTTAGACTGCTTTGCTTCCTTGTCTTCTGGAGGAATCTGATGTGTTGCTATGACCCTGACTATTCTCTGTCTGTCTATATACTGTGTTGCCAGCAGTATTTAATTTCTTTCTAAGTTTATTTATTTTGAAAGAGAGAATGAGCAGAGGAGGGGCAGGGGGCGGGGGACAGAGGATCCAAAGTGGGCTCTGTGTTGATAGCCGATGTGGGGCTTGAATTCACAAGCCGTGAGATGATGACCTGGGCTGAAGTCAGATGCTTAACTGACTGAGCCACCCAGGTGCCCCAATATTTCATTTCTCCTAAAAGAAATTAGGAACTAGTAGGTAAGAAACAGAGAATAGTATTGCCAAAGTAGCACTTGGAAGGACTGGTGTGGTACTCCTGGACAGCTTGAGTAAAAAGCTAGAGGATCAGGAGGTTTTTACATGGTCTGTAGTCATTCATCTGTACCCTGTTCAGAAGTTAACTCATGAAGGGAGGACACCAAGGTACATGGCCTACTATCTTGACTTGCTGGCTGAGTGTCCCAGTGTATGCCCTGAGCATCCTTGTGATGTTTTGAGGATTTTTCTTCTTTTAGATGTTTGCTCACCATAAAATCTACTGGTATCTTAGAAGATATAACAGATTTGAACTTCACTGTGATCCAGAATGAGGAACCGTAGATGCACTTAGGTGTCTTTGAGTAAACACGTGCCAAAGCAGGAAACCATATTTAGAGGAGAGTATTCTTGGGGCTGGAATATCACTGTTGAGCCAGATAAATATCTCTAAGCATCAGTTATCAATATCTTAATTATCAGTTATGTAGCAAAAGCTACATAGCTTTTGGCTCACTTTCCTTATCAGGCCCTACAACACAATAATTGGGTAGGTGGATGAATTTTAACATGCACGTCATGTATGTTCCATATAGTATGTTCCTTATAATTCTTACTAGTGTTTTTTTGAATAGAAAACCTAGAGAGTCACTGCCAGAAGTCCTCGAGGTAGTGCAGCTATCCTACCCATCTCGTTCCAGATAGAAAGAATTAAGTTATAAGATTTTTTAATTTTAATTTTCTTGGTTTTATACTTTTAATTTTTCTTATCTCAAACTGTTTTTAGAGGTGTTTAGAACTGTTGAATTGGTTTTCTCAAGAGATGTAATGTCACTATTATAGTAAGTAGATATATGTTTTCAGGTAAACAGATGTAATCCCATAGCTACTTACATATGACTCAAAATAATTGAGGACCCTTAGAAATAATGGGATTTTTCCCTTCAGAAGCTTGAGAATTTTCCCCAAATTATGAACAGGACTAAAATTGTACTGTTTAGCATGACGATATGAGAAACCAAACTCTAATTTCTATTACTTTCTTTTTAGGTATTTACTTGGTCTTTGCATTTGAGAAGCAGCAGTGAGCACATATACAGTAGCCCCAGGACAGCTGTGGCCTGTCTTGTACAGATTTGCGTGATCCATCCTAGATTTGACAACTTCCTGTTTGTTTGTTTTAATTAGTCTAAATGTGCAGGACGCTGCCGGAAACTCCAGTGTATAAATTCAACATTTGCTGTCTGTGACAGATGAACTTTTGTGTGTGTATATAAGAATGAGTTGGGACCTTTGTCTTTAAAAGTCTATTTTTAAGTAATGTTCTAAGAATTCCATTTGCCTCTCTACTCTCTTAGCGCATAAAAATTATAATATGACTTGTTAAAGCTGCTGGACCCTTTCCACAGTGCTCTGATTTGTTTAATGTTTGTTTATAGTATTAAATTTATTGTAGTTGTAGAATTGATGAGGGAGCATACTGGTTTGCCGGGAGTGTGTGCTCATTTCTGTTTTGATGTATAGTGTTTTTCAAGATTAAATGGATTGTGTTCTGTACAACTGAATATGTTCAGTATACATCGCTAAAGTTACAAGTTTAAAACAAAATTGTAGATGCTCATAAAGTTATTTACCTAGAATTGTAGCCAGTTATTACATTTCACTGTAAATACTGTTTGCTAATACGATCTAATTTTGGAACTGGTTGGAACCTTTTAGATGCCAGCATAAAATTGTTTTGGACTTTAGGGGCTTTATCTTAAGAATTTCCTTCCATAACAATTAATGCTTCTTGTTATCAAGAATGTATTTAGACACATTTCCCTTTCTTCATTTAACAAAAATGCCATAGCTGTTTTTCTCAAAATTTAATGAACCTGTCCCATGTGAACCTGTTGCACATTTTCCTCAGACTTACGTATGAAACTGCAATAGGAGGATGTGACTAAAGGGAACTGACAAGCAGACTTCAGATTAATTCTCCCTGATGTCAGAGAGGATACTGGCACTGTGTGCTGTATAGATTTGTTACTCCCCTTCAGCCCAGAGAGAAGCAGTACCGGTTCTTCTATTACAATGTTGTACTTTGCGCAGTAGGGTCCAGCATCTCATCACCATTCAGAATTTGCATTTGCCATTTCAGAACCGTTACTATTTTCAGCCCTGGCTTCTTGCTTGACTCCTCTTCCAACAGACACCTAGGTGAACTGTTGTCTTTACTTTACATCACTGTTTAAAAAACTTGCCGGTGTTTAGATGTAGTGAAAAACTTACAGAGAACAAAGCAGAGCAATTGCGTATTCTTTTAAAAATCATTTATTTAATGCATAGGTCTAAAGACATTACTTTCTATAACTATCCAGAGTACTTGTTTAAAAGGTAAAGTTTCTTAATTTGTTTATATATGTAGATTATTCATGGTGTTGGAGTAACAGACCTTTTAACAAGAGAACACGGGTTACCTAATTTCTGTTCCTTCTGCAATCTGTCAACCTCCAAACTGTTACCGGTTTACAAAAATGAAGTCTTTTTGCCTTATGTGGTGGTTTGCCATAAGTCATTTGGAGAAATAAATAATAGTACTTCTGACTGTGGTGGCTGCCATTAACTAACAAAGTTTTGGTAATGGTGCTGGGGAGGTAGGGATGGTGAGCTCTTAGTGTACATATCCAGGTTCATTTTAATTCTGGGGCAGGTACCAGAAAATGTTTTGATAGTTTGATAGAGGATGTAAAGCTTCTTTATCATTTCCTATCATCATTTTCATTTAATGGTCTTGGTTAATTCTAAGCAAGTAATAAGACGTTTTTAGCCTCCTGCTCTTTAGGATCCCACTGAAGGATGGAGTGTTTGATGGTGATACAAAGCAGAAAAGGAAGGTGGAGTCCCTGGAGCTTTCACTGAAGGGGTAGAAAGGAGCAAAGAAAACACGAGTGTATTGAGCAGATCTCTTCAGTCTGAGCAAGTAAGCTGTTGTGTGTGCAGGAGGCTTGCAGAGCCGTACCAGGAGGATGCAGAGTTCTAGTGTTTCCCTTGCCCCTGAGCTCTCTTGGTCTCATGGCTGCGTAAGCTCTTCCCCCCATTCCCTGATGCGTTCCTGCTGCAGCTAAGTGTCTGGGCAGTGACTCAGGGATAACTGTTAAGAAAAGGTGGATCTTGGGCGCCTGGGTGGCGCAGTCGGTTAAGCGTCCGACTTCAGCCAGGTCACGATCTCGCGTTCCGTGAGTTCGAGCCCCGCGTCGGGCTCTGGGCTGATGGCTCAGAGCCTGGAGCCTGTTTCCGATTCTGTGTCTCCCTCTCTCTCTGCCCCTCCCCTGTTCATGCTCTGTCTCTCTCTGTCCCAAAAATAAATAAACGTTGAAAAAAAATTTTAAAAAAAAGAAAAGGTGGATCCTGCCCATCATCTCCCATCACCATGGTAAAAGCTGGGAGGACTTAGCACCCCTCCCCCCACCCCCACATACCCACAGTCTTGAGAGTTTGGGGATTTTCCATTCAAGACTTGTAACTTATGAAGAGGACATGGCTCTTCACTGTCAGGTCAGTGATGTGTGAGTAGTTGTGGGAGTGACTACAGGCACTCCAATTTGTCCTCCAAGGATGAAAGTGAAATGATCAAACCAGCCATTTGTGAGAGGACACAACCTAAGGATTGGGAGGATTGGTCAGGGAACATGGCTGGATTTTGGCATAACAAGAATACTCAGGTTGAAGTCTTTGGGCCTAGAATACACTAAAGGAGAGGTACTGTGTAGCCACAGCGTTCAGGGAGACAAACCGACCATTTCCAGCTGCATCCAACGCGAAGGGGTCCTAACCTGTACACTATAGCCATCTGCAGGTAATGATTGCTCTTCCAGTTCCCACCAAGCCTCTGGTTCCAGTGTTACTCCCCAAAGAAATTTGACTTCTGTTAAGTAGTATGCATGATGACTCTGAAAGGTAGATTACCAGTACAGAGTTTCCTAGCCTCCCTGGTCCCCAAACTTGGAAATTGAGGAAATGTGATTGCTATTTAAATTATGATAGCATTGATAGGCATCAGAGCAGAGGTGTACCAAGTGACGGGCTATGAGACGGTGCAATGTTGGTCAGCAGTGGAGATGCAGAAAAAGCATTGTCCACTATCGGAGGTCCAGATTTCCAGTCTCATTAGTTCTGGGGATGTGTTCTTTGGCCTGTTTATTGCATCTAAGTTATTTTTTGGTAGATCTTCAAGTATCTTTCTACTGAAGATTTGGCTTCTTCTGTAGGTCTAAGAGGAAATGCCAGTGTGAATATTCTACCGACTGATTATTATTTTGCATTGTGATAAACTGACTTTTTGTTGTCTACCTCAGGCTTTGTATGTATTGTGAGCCAGTCACTGCCAACACTTCTGCATCTTCAAAGTAAAGGCCAGATCCAGAACCCAGGGCCCTAAATAAAAGTTGTACTAAAATGCCTGTGGTGTTTACTGGCCCTTTAGTCAAATAGGAAGTATAGGTATATGGAATCACCACCTCCCTAGATGCTGTTATGTCAGAACTACACACCTCATTTCTCACCCTCTGACAGAGCAACATTCCTGATTCCTTGAAGGCAGTCAGTGCAGAAGCTCCTACACTTATTTATTTATAGATATACGTGACTAGGCTGGGGGGACAGCCAGCTCTTCACCTTCTCAATTTCTCCTCTGCTCCCATGTAGCCCTGAAGCATGGGTACTTGCTCCTCACTGCAGTACTAAGCAAGTGTGGGATGCCCAAGGAATGCCCTCCTCAGTTTGGGGAGATTTTTGGGTTAACCCCAAAGCCCTCATCTCTAGATTCATCCCAAGCCATGCTTGGGGACAGCATACCTTGGATAAAGCCAGGTTGACAACTAACATTTATTGGGTCAGTTATTTTTCTAAATCTTTTATATGTTAATTCATTTTGATTCTAATAATGATTTGAAGTAAGCACTAATCCCTATTTTAATAATGAAACTGAGGCACAGAGAAGGTACAAATTTGCCCAAGGGAGAGCCAAGATTTGAACACCCATATTCCTCAAGTCCAGCCTGCACCCCAATCTCCAGGGGTGTTAACAAAGACCCAGATGACTTCTCACCCGTGCACTACCCACAACTTGAAATGTTAACTGGTTGGTGCTCCAACCTTTTGGTTCAAACCTTTGATATTTAAATGTTCCCTGAGAGGAGCATTTATCTGAGTAAGAGGATTTGGGGCAGAGAGAGCAGAAGAGCATTTGAGTGTCCTAGGGGAGGAGGGTTAAAAGTGAATAATCAACAGGCAGGAGGGCAAAGATCAACTTGGACTTCATATTTTGGTAGACTTGCTCCTTTAGCAACCAGCCCTGTAGCAAATCCAGTTTAGTCTGCATGTTAGGGAATGGGGGATGGTTCTTTTCCCACCCTCATCATTTGGAAGTGGCAGGAGGTGGTAGCATAAGTGTGAGAGAGTGTAGCCAAAGGGAGAGGTCAAGAGAAAGAATCACTTCAGTCTGAGTTGATTAAGCAGAGGCAAATCATTTTGTTTTAAAATTTTTAAGTGAAATGTAACATATACCAGTCGATTTTTCACAAATGGAACACAAATACAGTCATCACTTAAATCAACAAACTGTTACCACCAACCCAGATGGCCCCTCATGTTCCCTTCCAGGTACTACCTCCCCAAGCATAACCACTATCTGACTTCTAAGAATATAGAGTAGATTCGTCTGTTTTTGGACATCATATAAATGGAATCAAATAGTATGTATTCTCTTATATCTGGCTTATTTGCTCTACATTACGTTTGTAAGATTTTTGTTGCATGTATTTATATGTGGTTCCTTCTGTCTGTATAGTACTCCATTGTGTAAATAAACCACATATTTATCCAGTGGATGTTTGGTTCATTCCCAGGTTCGGAACTATTATTGATAGTACTGCCTCAAATATTCTAGTACATGAATTTTGGTACACATAGGTACTCATTTCTGCCTAACATTGTAATTACAGGGTCCCATTATGTACATTATATTCAGTTTACTGGATACTGCCAAACAGATTTCAAAAGTTCCAATTGCCCCACACTTGGTAGTGTCAATCTTTGTCATTTTATTCTGGCAGGCATGTGGTGGTATCTCACTGTGGCTTTAGTTTTCACTGATTATTAATCATAATCAGATTTCATTTCACTTTTCATATAATTCTTGCCTTTTGATTATCCTCTTGTTAAATATCTGT